TGGTCCACACACACAGGTTTACTACATCAGGTTGTTGGTCCACACACACAGGTTTACTACATCAGGTTGTTGGTCCACACACACAGGTTTACTACATCAGGTTGTTGGTCCACACACAGGTTTACTACATCAGTGTGTTGGTCCACACACACAGGTTTACTACATCAGGTTGTTGGTCCACACACAGGTTTACTACATCAGTGTGTTGGTCCACACACACAGGTTTACTACATCAGGTTGTTGGTCCACACACACAGGTTTACTACATCAGTGTGTTGGTCCACACACAGGTTTACTACATCAGGTTGTTGGTCCACACACACAGGTTTACTACATCAGGTTGTTGCTCCACACACAGGTTTACTACATCAGGTTGTCGGTCCACACACAGGTTTACTACATCAGTGTGTTGGTCCACACACACAGGTGTACTACATCAGGTTGTTGGTCCACACACAGGTGTACTACATCAGGTTGTTGGTCCACACACAGGTTTACTACATCAGGTTGTTGGTCCACACACAGGTTTACTACATCAGTGTGTTGGTCCACACACACAGGTTTACTACATCAGGTTGTTGGTCCACACACACAGGTTTACTACATCAGGAGCTGAAGAAAGTCATGATAATAACTTTACAGGACAACTTCTCAACCTTCACAAACCATCAGAATTTATTGTGAAGTCACCAGGAAGAACATGAAAACTACTATGTGTGACACTGCTGACATGTTCCCAACATGATTTTCTTCGGTCAATCATGAATCACCTGTCAATCATGAATCACCTGTCAATCATGAATCACCTGTCAATCATGAATCACCTGTCAATCATGAATCACCTGTCAATCATGAGTTTCTAACACTTATTTAAAGTTCAGTGACATGACAGGAAACAAACTATATAGTAATGAGTAATATTATTACAACAGGTAATATTAATATTATTCATGACCGTCACTGGACCAGACTGGTCCAGTAGAACCCTGACCGTCACTGGACCGGTCTGGTCCAGAAGAACCCTGACCGTCACTGGACTCACTGATCTATCGTTCATTCCTGCTTCTTCCTGCAGATAAACTGAATTTTGAAGATTCTGTCATCAATAAGGTGACGATGATGCAGAAGCAGAAAGAAGCCGATACGTACGTCTGACTCAGGTGTTCATCTTCACCTGTCAGATCAGGTGAGCTGTGACTAACGCTCTCATTGGCTGGTCTCTGCAGGTACAGGGTCAAGGACAAATCAGATCGAGCCACAGTGGAACAGGTGGGTTTTCAGGAAGTGCTCAGTTGATCAGTAATCAATAATTAGCTGATGTTGATGATGATGATGTTGATGATGATGATGATGATGATGATGATGTTCTTCTGAAGGTTTTAGATCCAAGAACTCGAATGATTCTGTTCAAGATGCTGAGTCGAGGAGTCATCTGTGAGATCAACGGCTGCATCAGCACCGGCAAGGAGGTATGATCCATGACAACACAGACCACACCTGAACACACCTGAGTCTCACCTGAACTCACCTGAACTCACCCGAGTCTCACCTGAACTCACCCGAGTCTCACCTGAACTCACCCGAGTCTCACCTGAACACACCCGAGTCTCACCTGAACACACCCGAGTCTCACCTGAACACACCTGAACTCACCCGAGTCTCACCTGAACACACCCGAGTCTCACCTGAACACACCCGAGTCTCACCTGAACACACCCGAGTCTCACCTGAACACACCCGAGTCTCACCTGAACACACCCGAGTCTCACCTGAACACACCTGTGGTTTACCTGAACACACCCGAGTCTCACCAGAACACACCCGAGTCTCACCTGAACACACCTGAGTCTCACCTGAACACACCTGTGGTTTACCTGAACACACCCGAGTCTCACCTGAACACGCATGTGGTTTACCTGAACACACCTGAGTCTCACCTGAACACACCTGAGTCTCACCTGAACACACCTGAGTCTCACCTGAACACACCTGAGTCTCACCTGAACACACCTGAGTCTCACCTGAACACACCTGAGTCTCACCTGAACACACCTGAGTCTCACCTGAACACACCTGAGTCTCACCTGAACACACATGAAGCTCACCTGAACACACCTGAGTCTCACCTGAACACACCTGAGTCTCACCTGAACACACCTGTGTCTCACCTGAACACACCTGTGTCTCACCTGAACACACATGAAGCTCACCTGAACACACCTGAGTCTCACCTGAACACACATGAAGCTCACCTGAACACACCTGAGTCTCACCTGAACACATGAAGCTCACCTGAACACACCTGAGTCTCACCTGAACACACATGAAGCTCACCTGTAACATGTGAGCTGAGTTGTGACACCTGTGCACCTGTAACAGACGTGTTCTTAACGTTCTTCAGGCTAACGTTTATCACGCCAGCACAAATTCAGGAGACAGCAGAGCCATTAAGATCTACAAGACGTCCATCCTGCTCTTTAAAGACCGAGACAAATATGTCAGCGGGGAGTTCAGGTGAGTTCCACTACATAAGAAGAGCTCTCCTCCAGTTCTCTTGTGTGTTTAAAGTGAACGACCTACTGCTGTTCTTTAGGTTCCGGCATGGTTACTGTAAAGGAAACCCCAGAAAGATGGTGAGAACGTGGGCTGAGAAAGAGATGAGGAACCTTATCAGGTCAGAACCTCCTGACACTCCAAACCCAGTACCACCTTAAATTAGAACCTTATAAACTATAACAGAACCTTAGAGACATAACTGACAGGTGAGTCCAGTATTATCATAGTAAATCATTATTAATGATCACGAGGAGTCGTTAACATTAAGATGTAATCATGCAGTCATATATTCAGATACATGTGAAGTTATCACTGTAATAATTACAGGTGAGCTGTGTAAATGAATATTATCTAACATGCAGCTCTTTGTGTGACTGTACCTGAAGCAGCTCTCAGTCTCAGGTTGGTGACCCCGGTCCTACAGGGTTAGGCTTAGTCCTACAACCAAACCCACATTTCAGACCTTTGGTTCAGAAAGATTTTCTGCTGCTACGTTTTGTTCTATTCTACAAAACCAGTAACCTCTGGCACCAGTGAGCTACAGAAGGCAACGTCCAGCCCTGCATTCAGAACCAGGCAGAACCTTATTTTTAGACCGGTAGAACCCATCAGAACCTGGTATGTTTCAGGCTGCAGACAGCAGGAATACCGGGTCCAGAACCTCTGCTGCTCAGAAGTCATGTTCTGCTGATGGGGTTCATCGGGAAAGACAACATGTGAGGAAACAGCTTTTGTTGATTGGATTGATCCAGTATTGATTATTGACTGATTATTGTGGTGCTGTTTGGGTCAGACCTGCACCTCTGCTGAAGAACGCGGCGCTGTCAGAGTCCAAGGCCCGGGAGCTCTACCTGCAGGTCGTGCAGAACATGAGGAAAATGTTTCAGGACGCTCGTCTGGTCCATGCTGACCTGAGCGAGTTCAACATGCTGTAAGATGAATCCTTTAGAATAAAAGTTTGATTTGGCTCCGGTTCTGTGCTGCGGACTTCTGAGGTTCTGGTCTGTCTGCAGGTACCACAACGGTGACGTCTACATCATCGACGTGTCTCAGTCGGTGGAACACGATCATCCTCACGCTCTGGAGTTCCTCAGGAAGGACTGCAGTAATGTGAACGGTCAGGCGGCACCGACCACTTGGACTTGGTCCGATGGTACATAGTTCTGGTGCGGTTCTGCTCTGACCCAGATCTGTCTTCCCAGAATTCTTTGTGAAGCGAGGTGTGGCCGTCATGACGGTCAGAGAGCTGTTTGATTTCATCACCGACATGTCCATCACCAGCCACAACATGGAGCAGTACCTGGAGAGGGTGGGTAGAACCTAACAGAACCTGATGTGCATAGGACCCCAAATACTGCCCCCAGACTCTGGTGAGGCCATACCCCCACCAACCTGATCTGTCGTTCATTTGAGGTTCTGCTCCTGCTTTAGTTTGTTGTAGCTTTTGCTCATTGGAACCAGCTTCTCCATGAATGAGGTTTTTTCAAGGTCTTAATAAATAGGGAACACTTCTCAACCTGTTCTTAATAGTAGAACCCTGGGAATGTAAGGACCCAGCAGAGTCTGCCATGACTGATAGACTCTCTGAAGACCCAAGTGTAGACCTCTGTAAACCCCTATAGAACTGTAGACATCTGTTTCCACTGTAGAACTCCTGAAGATCCCAGTAGACCCATGTAGAACTCATGTAGACCTCTGTAGACCCATGTAGAACTTCTGTAGACCTCTTTAGAACTCTTGTAGACCCCTGTAGAACTCCTGTAGAGCCCCATAGAAACCATTAAACCCCAGTAGAACTCCTGTAGTCCCCTGTAGAACCATGCAGACACTTGCAGAGTCCTGTAGCCCCACGTAAAACTAGAACCCTGTAAAACTCCTGTAGATGCCCGTAGAACCCTGTAAGACCCCTGTAGACATCTGTAGACCCCTGTAGAACCCCTGTAGATTTCCTATAGCCCCCGGTAGAACTCCTGTAGACCAATATAGAACTCCTGTAGAACCTACGTAGACCCCTATGGATGTCTGTAGAAATCCTGTAGACCTCTGTAAACATCTATATATCCCTGTAGAGCTCCTGTAGACCCCTGTAGAACCCAGATAGACCTCTGTAGACATCTTTATACCCCTGTATAACTTATGCAGACCACTGTAGATGTCTGTAGAACTCTTGTAGACCCCTGTAGATGCCTGTAGACCATTGTAGACAACTGTAGATATCTGTAGAACCCCTGTAGAATTCCTGTAGATCCTTTTAGACCCTTGTAGAATTGCATAAACCTCTGTAGATGTCTTTATACCCCTGTAGAACTTATGTAGACCTCTGTAGTTGTCTTTAGGCCCCATACACATCAGTAAACCCCTGTAGAACCCTTGTTGATTTCCTGTAGACCTTTGTAGACCCCTATAGACACCTGTAGATATCTGTAGAACCCCTGTAGAATTCCTGTAGATCATTTTAGACCCTTGTAGAATTGCATAAACCTCTGTAGATGTCCTTATACCCCTGTAGAACTTATGTAGACCTCTGTAGTTGTCTTTAGGCCCCATAGACATCAGTAAACCCCTATAGAACCCTTGTTGATTTCCTGTAGAACTTTGTAGACCCCTATAGACACCTGTAGACCTCTGTAGAACCCCTGTAGAATTACTTTAGACCCTTGTACACCCCTGTAGATTTCCTGTAAGACCCCTGTAGAACCATTACACGTCTGTAGACCCCTGTAGAATTCCTGTAGACATGTGTAGACTCCTGTAGAACCATGCAGTCATCTGTAGACCTCCTGTAGACCCCTGTAGAGCTGTACAGACATCTATAGACCCCTGTAGAATTCCTGTAGACCCGTGTAGACGTCAATAGACCCTTGTAGAACCGTGTAGATGTCTGTAGACCCCTGTAGAATTCCTGTAGACTCT